CATGCACATCCCGGCTATGTAGCTTTTCGTATGTCCGCATCGTAGCGTATCGATAAATTTCTCGCGCGCACAAACCGCGCCGAAGACATTTATATCGTAGCCTCTTGCTATGATATAAGCACATTCGCTTTTACATCTCTACCCGTAATACCTTTATGCACATTATGCGCAAATTTACGGTAAACAAGGATATCTTGGTAAATAAATTTAAGCTGCGACTTTACTGTAAAAGTAGGTATAAGTGCGTGCCTCGATCGATTTTCCTCGTCTTATTCGGATCCGGCTGTTTCTTCGATAAACAAATCACGTCCACACTCGACTCAATCCGCAGGCCAGTGATCGCAAAAGAGCGAGACAGCAAAAGAGCAAAAGAGTAAAAGAGCCAGAGGGAGAGAAAGAGAGCTCAACGTCGATCGAATCCTCTTTCTCCCTAAATCCCTCTTCTTCTCCTGTACAAGTAGATAAAAGCTAACACGACGGGTTTAAATTCCTATCCCACATGCACATACGTGTGTAGCCGAGGAGCTCGCACGTGTGTTATGTGCGCGCAGAAAAGAAGAAAAACTTTTGCGAAAGTGAGCCGAGTGTGCGTGTCGCGCTGAAGCAGTCGAGAGTCCAAGAATCCGCCAACGAGAGAAAATATAACACGAGAATCAGGCATAGCAGCAGCAACACGTGGACGGATACGACAACGAAAAGAAGACTAAGAAACAGCAGAAGAAGAAGAAGAAGGAGCAGGATAAGAAGAAGAAGAAGAAGAAGAAGAAGAAGAAGAAGAAGAAGAAGACCGGACCCAACCAAGCAACGAGGAGCGAGTGTGTGTCTGTGCGCGAGAGAACCGGTACATACCACGACCACCTCTATCTCCTTTCAGCCGCTCTTCATGCAGCTTCTTTCGCAGCCAAGAGCTGCACACAGACTCACGAAAATTCCATCTTTCCTGTCCTGACGTTGCAGCCGCCGTCGTCGAGAGAAGCGAAGCAGCCCCTGCCCTCGACGAGTAAGCGCCAAAAGAGAGAAAGAGCGAATGATGCATCGCACGAGCTTGCCTGCCGCCACTGCGCCGAGGCCTTCCATTTTCCGATTTATGGTCAATTTATGGATTTTAGACGCAGCAAAGAGAAGGCCGTGTATTTACGTAGCTCGCGCGTCAAGGCCTCTATATAGATACATGTATTATATTAACGTAAGTTCGGAGTGCTGGAGCGAGCCGGTCTGCGTGAGAGGATAATGTGAATCGGCTTGCTGATTGTTCCTTTTCTGTTTATTTCTGAATTATGTACATACTTTTTAGCTCTCATAGAAAGTTTTGATCATTTCTTTCGACAGAACACCAACGCACGAATTGCGCGTCTTAGTTTGTATACGTATCCGAGTCTTCAAGGTAGTTTGAGAGTGAGAGTGATTTAAGGACCTAAGTTTCGATTGGCTTTCAATGCACAAACTTTTTTATTCGTGATCGTATTTTTCTTCCTACACTCCATATCTCTTCCATCACTTTTGTGCACGGACGTGGCCGCTATTCTTTCTGCACTTTATATCATATTAGTACATTTGTTCTCGGGGTATAGATATATAATGTGTGTAACATACAGTACATACAGGAAGGTGGATTAAATAATAAAGCGTCTAGACAGAATGTTTTTTTCGCGCATTGCTCGTCATTCTTACTACGGTTCTCTTACTGCTGCTATATATTTCACTGTGTAAGCAGTTATTTTCGAGCAATTAAGGAGCAAAAAATACTCGGACTCATGTAATAAACAATTCAAATTTATATTCAACGAGACTTACGTTGAGATAAGACCGGTATACGTTTTTAGATAATCGTTTCGCAAACATTTATTTTGCAAATCAATTCACTTGAAGATTTTCATTTTTTCTCTTTTGAGGATTTTCTAATCGGTCAATATAATAAATTGATAACTGTCGTAGCATAAATAAGAAGTGTGAAAATCGAAACAAGGAACAATCTATGCCATTCAAAAAAAGACGCATCGAAGTTATAAAATGTCATTGTTGTAAAATAAATCTTAAATAACGAGCCAACAATCGTTTTGAATGCGAAGGATGTGAAAAAATAGACTAGTCGAGAAAAAGCTAAACAAGACCATAGAAAAGAGACAATCGAAGCGTGGTAAACATCCAAAAGAATTCGAAAATTTAGTCGACTATTTCTATGAAAGGAAGATGAGAGACGCGGTTATTCCATACATTAGTATACGAATACGGATAGTTATGGGCATGTACACGAGGAGGCATACGCGCTACTAGCGCACACGCGACACTTGGTTATAATAGCTTGAATGAATTTCGACGAATTTAGTGAGGGTCGTGCTAAGTCGCGTGAGGTTGCAACTTCCTGATGCTGCTGTGGTTGTGCGCTAGATTATTGAGGGTATCGTACTCGCAGTTGCTCTCTGAGTTCTGCTCTTCGTATCTCTCTCTCTCTCTCTCTCTTCCTCTTTCTACTTGCTCCGTGGCAGGTGTTTTATAAATATTGAAACCCCCCTCCGTTGACGAGAGAGTTCGAAGGACTGCCGTGTCATGTGTGCGCGCGCGTATACTTGTGTTCTTCCTCACACATACAGACTCGGAAATGTTGGCTTTTCGCCTGAGTCGCAGTGCAGACAGCGAGGCGATATATATACATAGAGCAACATTCGGAAGTTAGGTCGTCGCCGTCGTAGTCTATGCCATTGCTCTCCTGCTCCTACTGCGGATTGTTTGTCTTTGAACTGTTATGGCCCAAGTCAATAGAGCGAGTTGAGAGCTAGCTGCAGAGAAAGACTCTGACTGCAACAGCGTCAGCCTCCTCTCTTTTCGTCATTATTTAGTCATGGTGGCGGATGTAACGTAGCTGCTGTCGTTTTAATTATGGATATTGCAGGAAAGTGGTGCAAAAGTAGGGCGCATTATGCGCGTTTACTCAATCGCGTGGCTGCTAGAAGCGAGGTGCAAGCCTTTGCTCGATCGTGTGTCAGCCTGATCAACTGCCTCGCGTGTACGCATCTCTCTTCGCGAAAGCTATCATTGTGCAAATACATAATGCATGAGCACATGGCTCTGGCAAAAAGGCCAATGGCTTGGCCGCGCTCCGTACTGAATTATGCCCGGCGCGACGCGGCGAGCGTGTGACTTTTCGCGGTAACGACTTGTACCGTCTAAATGACCTTTGAAAAGACACTTGGCTTATTATGTTTGCTCGGGCTCGAGCGTAATGTGCATCATCATCGCGCGTTGCTCTACTCGTTGTCGTCGTTGCCGCGTCCACCACTCGAAGAATAAGACCAGATTCTCACTTCGCATTGACCAGTGATTCTGCGTAAAGCGAGTATAAATGCGCAACTCGTGACGATCGCGAAAAATGCCTGCTACTTTGCCGTATCTAAGTACCGAGAAAGTCGAGGTCACAAAGATTACTCTATGCTCCGATCGACAGCCAAAAAATAAACATCCATCATTGTTGATGGTACGCACAACAATAGACATATAGATAAAAACTTTTTTATCTCTTGACACTCTGTGTCATGAGCGAGAGTGATCGATTTCAATACATATCGCATATAGTTATGCCGCGTGTATGAGTATCAATTACTTTGCTCCAATTGCATCAGCAGCGACGGCTCAAGAAGAGCAATAAACTCTAACTGCAAACTTGGTCATTTATTATCCAAAATTATTGCTATTCAAGAGTCTAGAAAATTCTCCGAACCGAAATCGAGTCTTCGCAGTCGTCAAATTTTATCTGCTGATATAAATTGAAGAGAAGTCAGGCGAGGAAGGGAAAAATAAACCCCCGTATCTAGCGTTCGTAGCAAGAAAGATTTCGTGAAATAATAAAACCTGCGAACTTTTCACGTATTTTTACCCTCTTGGAGGAGAGCGAACGCCGATCGAACTGGAATCGCGCGCGACGATCGAGCGGCAATCGAGCGACGATAGTTTCTTTTTTTATCGACGGTGACAGCGACAACGACTTTGCTCGAATCGTTATCGAATATAGTTACAGAAAGATAGAGAGAGAGAGAGAAAGGAGAAAGGGAAGCGCACGAAGAGAGACTATATTACTCCAATTCGGCTTTTCCATTCGGAATAAATCGGAATATTTTTGTCGAGCTCCCGTGCACATATAGTTATTCTCTTCCATTGCAGCGAGACTATAGATATAAGCAGACGCGGTTATGAGTTATGCTCGTTACAAGCTGCAGACATTGAAAAAGCATGTTCTTGTGCATACACGGGCTGCCTCGCAGGAGAGCACCAAAAGGGGAAACGAAAGAAAAACGGGTCTGGAAATGGAATTTTCACGATACCTTATGCGTGGCGTGAGGTAAAATTATTTGAACTCTTGTCCATCGATATGTTTGTGCTAGACGAGCAAGCAAAGATGGGAAAATAGAGAGGAATACAGACAAAGAGAAAACGAGAGAAAGAAGAAAATGGATCTGCACTGGATTTATCGAACGTAAACACAGCTCCGATTTGAATTGGTTCGCTCTCGGAGTTGATGTTTGGAAAGTCTCATTAGAATAGATAAATTCATTGTAGAGATAGATAAATCGATTATCACATCATCAAGCCCCAGCTTAGGCGCATAGTATAGGATCGGTGAAAGCTCGCAACAGCGACACATCGAATCGCTCGAGAATTATATATTTCAATGCGCCGCGTCGGTTGTGTTGTGACGTTGCTCAATGATGCTTCACGGTACATAACGATCGTCTTCGAGCCTAATTCAACCGAGATGATTCAAGCCAACAGCCCAGAAGTGACCTTGAAATCGGTTAACGCATCAATCCTTTGCGACAATTGGCATGCTCTACGGCGTGAAATATCGCATGGAGCAGGAGAATGCTCGGGTGGACACAAAGCTAATAACTTGGGTACACGCGTAAAAAAAAAAAAACAACATGTGCGCAGTTACATGCGATTTGAGTCAGCGTGTGCCGTTTAAAATAGGCGGTGTATACGTGTTTTATAATGGCAAAGGGAAATACCTCGAGAGCAGAATCGATTCTGCGTTGGTTCAGTCGAAGGAGCAGCAGCTGTCTTATGCAGAGAGAAGCGTATAAAAGCAGCAGCAGAGACGCTGCCGGTGCTGCAGTCACGCGCAGGCCGAGCGACAAGTGGCTTTTTTCGTGCTGCACGCCCCTCTTCCCCTGTGGAACGTACGGCGGCGATCTTTCTCGGCAGCGCAAGAAGCAGCAGCAGCAACGGAGAGCACAGAGGACTGGCCCGCGTGCAATGTGCAGTGCAGAGACTGCAGCTAGCTCGTATGCTATGTGCAGCGTACAAGGGCACGAGCAGGAGCAGCAGCAGCGGGCAGAAGCCCACGCGGTCGCTCGCACGAAGGAGCCGTGGAGAGAGGCAGGCAAGCAGGCAGGAAAGAAAGAGCCTGCACGGAGCACCAGCGAGAGAAGCTGGTATGCAAGTGTAACACACACAGACACACACACACACACACAGAGCCAAGCACAGCAGACTCGATAGATTATACGTATACACAGATCTGCATATTCACACAGGCACTAAAAACACACCGAACGCTGAGACACCAAACAGTAAGCACACATGCACCAAAACAATAGCCGAGAAAACAACTTCCGGCTGCGATGACACTGAGATTTTTTCCGCCGCACTTTTGGATATTATTACAGATACGATGTATACAATATGTATACAAACACTTGCGAAATCGCCAATAATACGGCTGGCTGCGAACAGAGGCAAGCGGAGGCGAACACAATATTATACTATTCTCGCTCGAGCAAGAACGTATAAAAATCACTGCGGCTTTAGCACGACGACACTACGAGATATTCTTGAAGCGATGTTGCATTGCAAACAACGATAAACAACAAGGAGTATTGGCAATGGCGCTTAGAAACAGAGCACAATCGACAATGCTGCAGTGCGGGTCTCGAATCACTGGAGCCATTCGATTGGCAGCTGCACAGGTCGTTGCGTTTTGTGCACGTCAGATGCAGTTCTAACGGTAACGCATTCGGCGAAATCGATCACAAAGTGCGTTTCGTCAGGTGGTAGGACGAGGCGCGAATTCACCAACAGCACTCGAGAAACAAGTATAAGAAAAACACTGGCACTGGCACTGTATTTCACTGGAACGAGCGTCGCGGAGGAGAAAAGAGGCAGCGCGACTCGTAATTTCGCCGATACACAAAAGGCTCGGCTCGCGTTGAACATGAAATTTTACACTCGCGTACGTGTGTTTCGTGCGTTTGTGTACGTAGCTGCGTGCGCGTGTATGTACGCGTGTGTAACATATGTATAGGTATCGAAAAAAAAAGGCATAAAAGGTGGTGTGCGGAAGATGCGAGTTGCAGCGACGGGGGCGGCGCGCGAAGCTCCCAACTTGCTAAGGTTTCGCGGCTCGGCCAATACTGCCGCTGCTGCTCTATGCTCGACACAGCGAAGCCCGTGCGGCGGCAGATCGTAATTTCCATGGGTCCGCGAGAGGGCGTCTCGCGCGGGATCCGCATATCCTCGACAACTCGCCTCTCTCTCTCTTTTGCCCGCTCTTCTTTATGTGTGCTCTATGTGTGTATGTGTATTCGCTTACTACACGCGACTATGTGCGCGCGGCTCCAGTAATAAACACATAACACCGCGCAGCGCAGTACGCGAGAGCACTCCAATGGTCCAACGTGCTCTATCGATATATTATACTGCACTTTTCTATAACATGTTACAAGCTATGAAAGATTTTGCTGGATGCATCGAGACCGGCCATTCGATCCACGCGATACGCGCGTCCGAGTGCGTATTGTCCTATAAGATATGCAATGCGTAATAAGGTAACACGAGGCTAAGCAATGGGGTTCATTCAGCAATACAATCCGCGCGCAGAGTTGAGCCGCGGGCATTACTTTGCACCGACGACTCTCACGGGCAACTTTCTCGATAATCGTCGGGCTAATTATCGGCCGGAGCTTATGCCGCCATCGACCCGTTACGCGAATGAATATTCAACCGGCTCTAGTGGCGTTCTGTGCTCGCCACTGTATGTAATTCAACGCTATACCGTAACTGGCCGTCTGCAGCGCGAGCGAGTATTCGCAGTCTATTCGCAGTCTATTCGCAGTCTATTCGCAGTCTATTTGCGGTCGCGTTGCGCGCAGGGCCTTCGGACTCGATCATCGTCTCTCGAGGGGAACAAGACTTTTAACGAGGTGCGCTCCCCGACATTCGAGACTCCGATCGCGTCCTCTGCTTTGATCTTTCGCGACAAAACTCGAGCCGCGATTCAACGTCGCGATCCCGGCGAGGCTCGAGATAGAGATTTGCCAAGAGATTCGAGCCTAGCGAGTAAACTACGCCACTTTGTCTAGCACCCTCGCCATTTTTCACGCAGCTACAATTTTTGGGACTCTCGTCCAGGAGAGCTGACTACTCGCGGACAAACGTCGATCTCGAGGCAACGGCGTCGTAAGATCAAAGTCGACTTATTGCACCGCGAGCTTGGCGTGGATGTGCGAGACGAGCGATCGAGAGATCGAGTGCCAAATCAAGCGAGTTGTCAAGCTTTAGTTATTTTTCTGCTGCGTATAATCATCATGAATATAGCTGTATCTTATGCACCCTGCAGCGCGTTTGCCTATACGCAAGCCCTTTACTTTGTGCAGCTATAAAAGAGTAGATGATGCCTAGGTACACGCGTGACGGCCGCATTATAAGAAGAGACAGGCACGAGCGCGTAATGCGATTCTAGCGGTGCAACCGGCGCAATACCTACAGGACCCCCGTACTCGGCTTCCAAGGATATGACACAACATTTTAAGGATAGAACGTGACGTACAAAAAATAATGCCGTGTTTTCACTTTGCCAGCACTTGCAGCTCCGTGCATACATAGACGCAACAACAACAACAAAAGCAGCGAGACTTTCATATTTCGCCCGATGTCAAGGCAGGACGAGCGCTAAATCCTCGCGTCGTCGCGCGTATTTACACTAATACGGACGTGCACCAGCAGCTCTTCTTGAAAAAAAAAGAACAGCCTGTTTTACATATTTACATGCGTCGCGGCAAGCGAGCCAAGCATCCCAAAACCCTTTTACCTAGATGTATGTAATACGCGCCATATATAATACGAGCTGAACAGCAAAGCCCGAAAAAGTCGACGGACAACAAAAGTCTCGCGCGCTGTCAGAATTCTCGTTCACAGTAAAAACTACTTTAAAGACAATGAATTCATATAAAGATAAACTACAGCTCGAATAACATCATCGGCCAATTGTTCGCTCGATTTCTTTTTCCTCTCGAGGCATATGGCAGATAAAGGCCACAATTATCTGTCTGCAAGCACATGCCTCGAATTTACGCAGGGTATCTAGATGAGCCGGCAGTAAGAGACGAAAATCTCATCAGCTCGGACTCTGGCGTTCACGAGCTCGCTGTGTAGCAACGACCAATAGAATTAGCTGCGAGGACGCGATAGTAACGATGACTGACGCGAATCCCTTACGAGATCGTTAATAAAGGTACTGTCCTGAAAAATTGAGCCCTCGACGCGTCCTTATTCGCGACGTATCGTATCAGCGATAAGGAACGCTACAAAGAGAATCGATCGGTGACTCGAGGCAGCGATAATATTAATAAGCCACCGTTCGCCACCGCAACCTCTTCACGAGAACGATTAAAATATTTCCGAGCTCGATGCGTGGGTTGATGTTTTCTGTAATAATAAGCTTGACACGCGCTCCACGTGCGCGTCCGGCTATTACAATTTATGAATATATATACTGCGCACACACGGCTAGCTCGCAGGGTCATTGTTACTGTACGCAAGAATAAGAAGAGAGAAAGAGAGAAGCGCCGAATTAAGGTGAAACGACGACAAGGGCTCGTCATGCGTTTATGAGCTGCTGCTGCTGCCCACTCTTGGCGAGCTGCTACGGCACAGCTTGATGCTTGACTTGCTCTTCACTTTTCTTCTTCTGCCGTCGCTGCTGCTGCTTCCTCTTCTTTTTCCTCTTCTCCCTTTTGCCCTCAGCTTCTTCTTCTTCTCCTCCTGCTTCTTCTCTGGTGCGTGCTGCGCCTTTTACGCGAGGCACATCGAGCTGAATTTCAGGTTCGTTGTCACTTTATGCTCCAATGTGTATACGAGCTACGTGTGCCCTGCTTTTATATTTCACTTTTACCCAGAAAGCCGCTGCCGCTACTACTGCCATAACTGCTACTTGATGCATACAAGAGCGACTGTCGTCGTATTTTAGAAAAAGCAATTGAGATTTTGCTTTTATTGCGAAAATTTCTTGCCTATGTTTTATAAACTGCGTCAGCTAGCTCGCCAACCATAGTCAACTATAGCTATAAAGTCATTTATTTAGGCGTCGATCGCTGTCGACTTTGCCGCCACCACCGCCGTCCACGGAAAAATTCGTACAACTAATTATTTTGAAATAAAATAAGTTTTGACGAGGTACCTGGCCTTCGGTTCGCTCGACGAGTTATTAAATTTCCATAGAGCCTATTTTAAACTTGTTCCTCCTTGCGTCGACCCTGCTGCTACTGCTGCTTCGTATATACGTAAGCGCGAGCAGCTTGACGAGAGAAAATTAAAGCAGATTAAAACAAAAGTTTCCGATAACGAGTCAAAGATTGCCCGGAAAACTCGGCAATTATATTAGGCGGGAAAAATTACATTTCGCGTGCTCGCATCTACACAGGTATATCGTATAGCTGGGAGGACTTTTTAGTACCTGATTTAAATTATCGATACATACCTGCTCTCGTCGTGCTATTGCGAGCTCCGCAAGCTCGAGATCTCGTACGATAGGCGATATAATTGGCATCTCGAAACTTGGAGCATATTGCATAAGCTCGAGAGAGGGGGAGAGAAAAAGACCATTTGTATCGCAACAGCAAATTTAAGTAGGAAAAAAAGCGAAAACCCTGGTGGTGGTCGAAAGCGATCGTCGGTCGGGGCGCGATCCTACCGAGCGGTTAAAAGCTAGAATATACACATCATTTGTAGTCCAATCGAATGGCGCTCGGATAAAAGAGCTCGAGCTTTTTGGGCTTTATTTAGTTTTGAGCGCGCGATAGCCGCGCAGTTGCACGGGGCAGATAATTCATGCGGCGTACGCATAAACCTACACGCTCACTGTGCAGCACGCAGTTCTAGGGCGCACGTATATAACATTGGCTCACTCGAAAAAGCCCTTGACGCAGAGTTCCGGACTTTTTATTTTCGAGTGGTGTTATTCGCGCCCCTCCATACATGCATACATACATACATACATACGTACGTACGTACGTACGTACGTACTACATATACAATGTACGCGTGTGTAGAGACTCGTACTCGTTTGTACGTGGTCGGAGGGAGCAGTGCGAGCAGCTACTGTTGTACGCTCCGAGAGCGATATACCACGAATGCCGTGCTCGAGTTGAAAATGAAAAATAAACACGCGTAAAAGCGACCGAGCGTATACGTATATTGTGCAACCAACACGTATCGTGAAATAGGGAAAAAGGAAGCGAAAGAAATAGATATACCAATAATACCCGGTCGAGTAAAAACGTTGTTGCGTATCAGTGCTCGTGGCTCGACATTTCGGAGCTACGCTACGTTTCAAGCTTCAATTGTGGCTTCACGCCTCACTTGACCAGCGCGGCTGTCACGACCATTTTAATATCTATCTATCTTTATTTTTACGCGGCACATGAGCTCCGAGACGTTGCTGGAGTTTTACGCGCTAGCTATCACTGCTGGCTGGCTCTGACATGGCGAGAAAAAACAATCGCAATAAGGCCGAGTACGATGACGACGATAATAGCATGGGGACATTTGCACGGCCATGAGACTTTGAAAGACGTCATAATTCTGGCCTCGCTTTGCCCTACTTCTTCCCTCACTTTTACTTTTTTCAGCTAGAATCGCTCCTATCGCTCGATAATTATTGCTCTCTGTGCCATTAGATGCAAGTGGGAGATGGCAGCTGGAAAGATTTGACATAGAAAATATTCACCCATTGGCCAATGACTGATTATTTTTCGACGCGTCCGTTTTCTCTGTTACGTGCTGGCCTGCTACGTGCAAATACGCGATCTGCTATTAGCACAAGGTGGACTGTGCGCGTTTAATGACGGAGACAGCTTCGATAATTCGATTTGCGAACTTGTGTCGAGAGACTGTTTACGCGTCCCTCTTGTGCCTCAACATCTATTTCGTGTTTATAATGACTCGCAAACCAAGCCTATATCTGACGCAAGTGTTGAATGCAAAGATATATTATTTACAACTTTTTATGATTACACATGTTCTCGCGGGTAAATGTGCTTACAGCTGTGGTATTTTCATTGAAAAAGGCAGTATAACGACATTCGAAAATGACTCGCTACTGCGTATTCCTCGCCTT